CGAGTCACCTGCTGGAGATCACTTCTCCCTCTGATGGGCTTCGGTTAAATGAATGAACTTGTAATCACAACAGTCACCCCGCTAAATGTCACATGTTGACCGTTATCGATCACCCAGGAATTATTTAACACCGAACGGCTTCATCACAAAGAATCTAATCAATGTACGCTTTATTTTGGTTGTTCTCTCATAAAATATTTGTGAAAAAATCTCACATAATAAAATGTGCAAATATCAACAGTTTTAGAATACTGATATTCCATTTAAAATATGTCCAGTGTATGTTTTTTGTTTGAGGTCCTTGAGAGCTTGACCCTCTTGCAGCTCAAAAAACAGTAAAATGGTATTTGGCTGTTAACCAACTTTTGGGCCACAGAAACCCAGCTCTATGTATGTCGAAATACTTTGAATTTCATCTGCTCTAAATCTGAGATTGGTGTTGACAGTTCTTTTCATGGATCTTCCAAACAGCAACAAGTGTCTGGGGTCTAATACATTTAAAATATGACCAATATTAGAATAACATATGACACATAACATTTGTCTCTTTTTGAGTGTTGCATAGCCTTTGTATATTTGTCAAATCATAAAATATGGAACAACAAATATGAAAAAAAAAAAATACATTTGGAAATGACTTTTTTACACATACAGCAGGTGGATCTAGAAATTCGTTGTCAAGAAATCCAGATCGACATTTTGTTATTTTGAATACATTTTGAATCCCTATTGAACCTCAAATGTTAAAACTAAACTTTTGAAAGAATAATATTGCGACGTCAAAGTATCATATTAGTGTTCGACAGTGGTTGTTACAAACCTATGCTGTGAAGCCAAACATTAAGTTTCATACAAAATATTTCAGTCTGCATCTTTGGTTAGCATGTAGAAATGATGCACAAGACATCAAATATTTCCACCTAAAATTCATGGAGTCTTGAGTTTGAAAATGTTCTTCAATGTAAACATCATATAGCGTCAGTGAAGGGCATGCTGAGACAGATTATATGACACTGTCAGACAGTGATAAATGCGCAACTGTAAAGCTACTCAACCAGACATTAAAATAATATTTTGATATTGTAAATATCCAGTACTTCATTCATCTAGATAGACATCTATATATGTTATAAGGTTGACATCTCTCCTCTTATGACTGCAGGAATAATCCTTCCTGAGCCTAAATAGAAGATTAGTGCTTTATTAATACAGTGTCATTTTGATATCAGCATTTTTGCTATCAACCATGATTAGCATGCACAGGAGACTACTGATCTGCATTGTGAACAAGCAGGGGATGTTTGAATACAAAAAAATAAAAACCGCTCCTACTCTTTCCCTGCAGCGAAAACTATGCTGCATGAGGGAGAATTGTACACAGTGTGCTGCAATGATGAACATTTCCTCCTGTTTCATGTTTAACCCCGCTCATTTCCCACAGTAAGAACTCCGGAAACACACAAGTGTGGAGGGAGGATGACTGATGGCTTGTTGTCATGATGTTTGGGATTCAGCCGACTCGAAGCCTCTTGGCTCACTGAAGCTGTGAAGCACTGCAGTGCATACTACAGGCTATTGTTTGAAAAGTCCCGGTATTAGCAAGGTATTGCTTCATTGTCACACTGTTGAGCCTGTGCAGAATGCAGTTATCTGTCCCTAGCCATTTACACTGTAGTTGCATTGGATTTATGATTACACTTCCTGAACCGGGACATATTTCCAACCATTCAACAACGTAGCAAGGACACTTATTAGAATTTTACAATGTGACTGGATGGATTTTTTTGTTTTCAGATGTTATTCCCTAAATTGTGTGTGGGCTGGGTATACACTGAGCCAAACCTCACTCCTGACACCACTATTTCTCAAAAATGTCAATATTTGAAAAACACAGACATGCTCTATCAATCATACAGATAGCCATCTTTCAACCGGTCAATGTGCCACACTTGAATATCTGTCTGCCTCTGCCTCAGCAGTGCTCTGACCCTTTCCCTCTCTTTATTTCTTTTTGCCACATTACAGCTCTATCATGATGCCACATTGATGAGCCTGAGCTCCATAAACATGGCAAAGATGGCTGTCATCTTCCCCTCCTGGAACTGCATTAACGGCAGTGACCTCTCCGGGTGCTGGTGACAGTCGTCTGTCAGCGCTGGTTAATTCCCAGTCTTGTGAGGGTCAAGAGCTGACATATAATGAGGCTTGACAGTGTTGGAGGGACAAGGGTCTGGTGTCAATGGCGGCCAGTAGCATCATGTCAGCAGCAGAAGGATGAGGGGTTTAATTCAAACCACGGAGGTAATCCGAGCATGGCTGCTTTATCCCAGGGCCTCAACTGCCTATTGACACACATCAGAGCATGGACGCAAAACAAATTAGCATCAGTCAATATTCTCTCCCTCCTCCTGCCTCCTGACACAGCCACCCGCTGCCGTGTTTGCTTCACCTCCAGTCAAAACAAAAGAGACAATAGTGATCATGATGGAAAACACCTGCGCTGACTTCTTAAGTGATGTTTTCAGGGTTGGGGGCAGAATGTTCACAATTCTGGTCTGTGTGTTGATAGCATGCAAACTTTGGTTTGAGGGGGATTTCCTTTAGAATTGGATCTACTTCACTTAATTGTAGGAATATTCTATTTCTTATTTTTCATGCAGAATTTGTGGTTTAAGGGATACAAGCTGTCCAGAGGAATGAGCCTCAGCTATAGATGTCTTGTTTTTGTGTGCTAAATGTGATCATATAACTTCTGTTGCATAAAAGGTGTTGGGAAGTGATGTGGAAAAACACTTCAAATATGCTAATCAAACATATGGCACTTCTAGGGAACAAACACGGATTGCTGTTGTCTTCCTACATGATAAAAAGGTTACTTGGTTTTAAATGTAATTTGAATATGTCCGAGGGCTGCAATGGGCTGAGGCTGCTGCATTTTAAAACACACAATTTGTTTGCGTTGGGGAAAACAGACATTGTTCAGTTTTTTTTTCATTCTTCTTCTTCTTCTTCTTTCCCCTATCTGCAACCCCCCTCCCTCTGCAGAAAGCCATTACAGAAATACCATTTCTAATACCTCCGCACAGGTCTTCGATCGACTGCAAACAAATTTATATTCAGGCGGTAAACAGAAAGCTGCAGAGATTTATTTATTGAGTGTGGAGGAGAGAAACAAGCTAGCGTGTGAACCCTGAGTAACCTCCGAGCTGACATGAAGATGGATCAGTGCGCCCTGCAAATGCATGGAGAGAAGGGATATATTGCACTCAGTCATTCAGCACATCGCTGCCTGTAGAATCCCATTAACTCCCACAGCTGGGACCATATTTCTGTGTGGTAAGAATGCAGTTAGAAGTTGTTCATTACGCTGAATTATTTTGTAATTACTGCAGACTTAAAATAAATAGGTGATATTGTTCAAATAAAACTATAAGATCAGTAACCTGTCATTGTTTAATATTTAGGTTGTTGTTAAATGCTATGGGTGGGAGTGTTGTATGGTTATCTCAGTTTGAGAAAATAACAATGATTACAATTCAAATGTAATTATTTAAAAATAATTAATTAATTAATTGGCTGTATGTATTGTTTTTAATTGATTGGGACAGGAAACATTCAGAAAAAATATCTAAATAACACACATTTACTTTGAGTAAAATTAATTTCAAATGGCTACGGCTTTAGTGATCATTTGTATTCCAACCACAATAAATGGTTGTAAAAAAAATGGTTAAGGTATACACATTTCTGAAAATATAAAACAAAGTCTCTTCAGTTTGGACTGAAAGCAAAACAGTTTAAAAGGTTTGTGGATTAAACATTGACATGTTATAGCTCCATTAATTCCGTATGTTTTCAATGAATGCTTGGAGGCTCTACGACACATGTGTATATTGGAAAGTAGGTCACCAGATTTCCGTGAACAAAAAACAAAAAACTTCTGCTGCTGTGGAGCTCATTGACATTTTCACTTCTGGGCTGGAGGTGATAACACTGGGCTGCTGTGTTCCTGTGTGCTGCAGCACAGGCCAGTTTTTATTATTTGCATGTGTTTCAGGGCAGTGCAGGTGAAGTCGTGGGCTTGGTGTATTCTTCTTGTGTATGTAGTTAGGGAGAGTTTTTTGTTGTGTTTGTTTATGTCACTCAAGTTTGAATAGCCGCATGTAGCGTTATTTGCACATGCATGAAAAGTATCACACGGCGATTCAGGACCGAGTAAACACGCAATTGTATTGAGAAGAAGAAGAAGAAAAAAGGCACAGGACTAAAACAGATTCGGGGCTCTATGTTTTTAGCGCATGGACAAGCTAATCCAGCGGAGGAGCTACTTTAACCTCGATATGAACGTTCTTTCTGTCGTTACAACATCTTGATCTCTGCTCGAAGCCATTTTTGTATTTGTTCGAGGCTAATTACAAATCTGCTGCCACTGAACTTCTAAATAGCAGCTGTCACGACCTCTGAACCCATTAAGTGTGCCTTTCACATGACCTAAACCCTTCGCTAAATAGGGCCTCGGGTTTTCAATAAACCTTACACATTAGCATAATCCATTAGCTGCATCAATGTAGGCCTATAGTATGCTAATCTAGTTTTGGGATCAAATAAATGTTCTTTATTGTCTTGAAAATGTATCTCGTTCTTTGTGTGTGAAATAAACACTCCTGACGTAATTTCCTACCTGAACGCAGGTGAGGCCCATGAAGGCCCTAGCGTCTGCTGCTGCTGCTGCTGTTGGAGAACTTCCTCGCTGTTTAAGGATGTTTTGTAGTGTTAGCTATGGCCTGCCACTCTTTGTGCTCGGACACAATTAAAATGACGACCTGAAGTGAGTTTCTCAACTCGGTTTAATCAGTGTTGTCCTCTCTGATGACAGAGATGTCCGGCTATTGGCCGAGACCAGGAGGGCACGTCATCTCCATCAATCAGGGACTGCTGTTGCTCCTCTGAGGAATGTCCCCACGGTTGTCCAGCCGCCTGACCATGCGTTACTTGGATGCATGAGAGGCCGGGCATGAAGTGCAACCCCGTCCAATGATTATGCAGGGGAGAGGTGATAATGACTTCCTATCAAGAGTTAACGGCCGAAGGGAAGAGTAGCCCTCTGTTCACGGGCTGCTGCCGAGCAAAAGAGGTCATAAACCGGGACCTGAACGGCAGGACTCTCCCTGAACTCGACAGTCATGATGTGGAGGGGAACCTGGAGGTGGAAGTAGCCTCAGGATTTAATACTCCGCATCCCCGGTACTTAACTCTCTCCAACAGTTTGACTCTGTGCACCTCTTTGGACAGCCCTCCTCCTCCTCCTCCTCCTCCTCCTCCTCCTCCTCCTCCTCCTCCTCCTCCTCCTCCTCCTCCTCCTCCTCCTCCACCACCGTGTGAGGCTCTCGAGGGCTTCTCGACACCGGCCTGCCCCCACTCGTCCCGTGTCCCCTGGCGGTGCAGGGCGCAGGGGCAGGGCTCTGCAGGACGCGGATCATACTGCGCGTCAAATAACAACGAAACGCCACAATCCGGCTTTGGGTCACTTACTGAGACAATTCAAAGCTGCTCCCGTAATGGCCCCGAGATTCACGTCGCTATGGGGAGATCAGCTGGCTCGGACTGTAACGTAGCTCATATGGATGTAAGCGGTAAAACTTTTGAGTGGATGAGAGTGAAGAGGAGTCAGCACCGAGCGGGTACGTTTTTGTCAAGAGGAGGAATAAAGTTACTAAATGTATTCAGGATATTCATGTTTAGGATTGAGTTTATGTTTAATATTTAGCTTTGGTTAACTTCAATTCATAGTTGGGGAAACTTTGGTCGAAGTTTTCTTTGAGAGAGAGAGAGAGAGAGAGAATGAATAGCTGACGTGTTTTGTGCGTCATCGTCCACAATTTCCTCCGTCCACAACATTGAAGGTACATTGAAAATAAATAATGTAAAACGTTTGAAGGCATATCAAAACGTTTGAGAGGCTGCACTAGCTGTTTAGTCGAGGACACATTTGAATATGCACATGAGGAGTCGGTCACTATTTCCTTAACGGTTCCATGTTAATGTGAGTCATGTGTTCTTTAACATTGTCGCTCCATCTGCTGTTACAAGCAGGAGTTAGACTGTGCACACAAGGAGGGAGGAGTATAGTCAAAGGCCTGCTTAGCCTCACTGTATATTCAACCCTTGAAAAGGATCAATTATTTACCCTTGCCCTTACTAACCAGTAGACTTTGAATAATGCAACAGAGCACTGCCTGTCGAGACTCACAGGAAGTTGAGTAAAACTTACTCCTGTAATCTGGAGTGCTCCCTGAGTATTGATTAGTTGTCTGTTTGTAATGAAAGCTCTTGCGTATTGATTTCAGTTTGCAGCACCTTTACATGTGTCCACCTTTTTAACATAATTGCTGTCACAGATCATCATTTCCCTGACTGATGAGTCCTGGGCACAGAGCCCACAGAAGAATACATATCCCAGGCTTAAAAATTACCAATAGCTTGCTAATGTAAAAAATGCCTATCAATCATCAATGTTATATGAGTAATAGCATCTTATATAGATCACTCAATCGATCAATAATGTCAGTTGACTGACTTGCCACTGGACCTGGGTTGGGTTTCATTCATTTTATGTGAAAAGATTTACTACAGTGGTGGTCCAGTTTTTTCTTTTCCCATTGCACATTATCTGTCTGCTGAAGGGTGCTGCTGACCCAAATGTTCAGTGACCAAAGATACAGGCGGGTCATTAGCACTAGACTGAGGCCATGCAGAAAAGGCCATGCCTCTCTGTGAGGGAAGCAATAAACAAACACTGCAGCCAAATTCACATTAATATTTTGAATGATGTGGACTAAACGCATTGTTTTTGATAATGATTCATATTTAAGTCAGTGTGCCCAAAATGTGACCTCACAACATTTGATGTGGCTTCATAAAGCGATTTTTAGCCTTTTGATAACCCTTTCTTGCATGGTCATGTATGATACATTCATATAACTTGTGAAACATCATTTCATATCAAGGCAGGAGTATAGAGGCAAAAGAAGACATTGCCTTTCATTTGAGTATATCAATATTATCTGATGGAGAAATCATGAACTGTAAATTGCAATGTTGTAACATGCAACAAACTCTGATGATGCCACTGTGAGGGAGGAAAAGGTTACAATAACACATTTCACTGGCCGAGGAGTCATTTTATTCATAAAACACATTAGCCACTCATCTGATCCAAATCCGAGCCATTTGCTAACAACCACCCACGCACACACATTTCCTCTCGGTACTGTTAGTATCTGTTTAACCTCTTTCTCTATGTCTCTGAAGGGGATCATCTGTAGGAGTAACTCATTAGAGCTACTGTGTAACTTGTAAAAGAGTCATTAGTGAAAGTACGCTTTCCTCTGAGGTTATATTGGCTTTGGCACCAAAGAAAGTCTCACGTATCTTTCCACGTTGAAAGGCCTCCACAGACCTGCAGTAACCTCAGTGTATATACTCCCAGTGCGTCATTCTTCAATTATGCTTTGACAGCACCTGAATTACTGTGGGCTGGATGCCCAGATGACTGAGGCAATGTGTATCGATCTATCCCTTTTCTTCTTCCCTCTCCTTGCCTTGGAAGGCCCTTCCATTCCCTTTGCAGCCTGGCTATTTTTAACCATGCAAGTCATTTCTCAAATATTTAGTTTGATTCTTTTATGCCTTCTGGCGGCATCAATTCTATTATCTTTGGCGCCATTAATCAGAATGTGCATGTGATTTGCACTCCTGAAAGCTGAAGTTCTTAATTACAGTTTGTCTGTATTGGTTCTTCATATACACTGCCCTCTAATTCTCAGGCTTGGTTACCTTGACATTCATTTTCTTAAAACACAGATGTTGACATTTATCCTATAACTGACCTTTCCATCTGCTATGCTTTTCCAAGTGGCTAGAGGCCTGTTAACCTTCCTCCCTATGAATTGTGGTGGGAGACATTGCTCTACACCTGGCACACTGACTCCATTATGCAGCAGCAGCACATTTTCTCAGAGGCAAAGATACACTGGCGACTTAGCCACAATGTCAGCAATGAAAAATCAAGATATAGCTGCGGTTCCTGTCATTCATTGCACATAAGTAGCACAGATGATACTTTAATGTGTGACCCAGAAACCTCAAAGGAAAAAGTGGAGACATTTGTCATTAATGCAGTGTTTGAAAGGATTTGTAAACTGTTAAACTGTCATTGACAGAAAGGCCTAAAGGCAAATTATTAATGATTCTGATGAATACAGTTAATGGACTGGAAACGATACAAAGTTGTTTTGACTCGACAATTTTTATCTGCAATATAGCGACATACTTTGTTCAACTATTTGGTGATCTTGTCTTGCACCCGCTATAAAAGCAATACCTTAAGAATATAAATGTGAACCCTTTAAAATGTTTCCAAGTCAGAGGTGTTGATTCAAATCTCATCTTGTCTGCAACTTGTTTCTTCTCTGTTGTTAGATAACACACAATTCCTATTTGATAGCAGCAAAATATTTTACAATGTGCCATAGGTTTCTGCTAAAGTTGATAGTTCGGTGAAATACGACTACACAGACAGAAAAATGACTTATGGGTACAACTTTAAATCAACCAACTGGCTGCGCCAATTCCTACAAATCAAAATCTTGGAAAATATATGGATGTTTGAACTAATTTCTTCAATATCAAAAAACGTTTTAATATTATTTTTGTATTTTGTATTTGTATTATAACGCAAATTACGAGAGCAGTCTAGACATAATAAACATTTAATAACATTTCTGAGGATTTATACAAAAGTTAAAACTATAAATGGCTTTGACTTAAATGACTGGTTTCTGTTTCAGCCCTGGAATAATTGTTCATTTTATTTCCTGGAAAAGTGCGTATATAATTGTATTCAAAAGGGTTTTGTGCTTCTTTTGTGTAACCTCATTGATCTTGCGCTGACGACTCTTTTCATGTGTTCTGTTCACAGTCAGGATGCACATGACCCGTGGGTTCAGTATTGGCTCGTGCCTCGGTGCTGTTGAGGCTGGAAGCAGCAGCATGTGCACGGATGGCCAGCCCACGGTGAACGGGGCCCCGAGGACCAGCTTCAGCACCAAGCAGCTGACCGAGCTGGAGAAGGAGTTCCACTTCAACAAGTACCTGAGTCGGGCCAGGCGGGTGGAGGTGGCCGGCGCCCTGCAGCTCAGCGAGACGCAGGTGAAAGTTTGGTTTCAGAACAGACGCATGAAGCAGAAGAAATTACAGAGAGACGGGTTGCTCTCCGACCCGGGGCCAGCGGCTGCGCATTCAAACGCCGACTTGTTGGACACCTGCCCCTCTCCTGGACCGACCCCGCCAAAACACCTGCCCCTGAACTCCTGAACCGCAGGAGCTGCACAGCGCGTCACACATGCACGGGCGCCTGCCTGCAGATGTTTTGATTCCAGTTTGCATCAGTTTCAATCAGGCTTCACCTTTATTTGCTTACCACGATGGATGCTTATCGCAAGAAGCGCAATGCCAAGTTTCTTCATGCAAGAACGGGTCAAAACAATTTGTCTTCCTCCCCCGGCTTCAGTCTGGCGCTCTGATTTGAATATTAAAATTCGAGTCATTGCATCCTCTCTAGACAATGTAAACAAGGAAACAAAATTATATTAATTGCCCATAGAAACTGTGGCAGACTATTTGTTTATTTATTTTGGACAATTTGTCCAGGAACTGAATTTACGTATATAGGCTATATATGATCAACAACACGTTGCTCCTAGTTTTGTTTAAAATGTATATTATTTTTATTTATTTAAGGTCTTCATTTGATCATGTTTTTTTCAGTTTCCTAAGACAGGAACTATATATTAAGTCAGTTGTAGGCTACTATTTATTTCACCAGATCGCACACTGCTTTCTCAATCAATTTAAGTTGCAGCTTAATGGAGCTTTCTTTTTCCATTGCTTTGAAATTCGTTTGTCTCTGACACATTTGAGGAAAAAGTCAGATGCACCTGTTGTAGAAAAATCACATCCTCAACATGTTAGACAATAATTATCATTCTAATTTAAAAGAGCTTTAATGTTGTGTATTTTGACAGGTTTTAAGGTTTTCCTCCACGGAAAGATTAAAACCATAATTGACTGATAGATTTATTGATCGCTCGTATTCGAACTATTGATCCGTGGTGGTGATCCATCTATTCGAGGCACAAACATGCGAGCATTTGCATGCATCTGTAACTGCATGTTAATGGGATGTAGAAACATCACGATCGGGAGTTGTTGCGTCTTTTATTACCTCTATATACATGCATCAGAAAATGATAATTTAGCCTGAACACTCATGCGGGAGAGCAGACAATAAAACGCTGTCTGTGCTGTTTTGCAGATCAACCAATAAATTGTGTTGCCCCAGCAGCTCGGGCTGCTAAATATTCCTTCCGGATTCACATCTCATCTCATATAAAGTAAATGATTGTAAACTCGGCCCTTAAACACTGTTATGTTCCCGGATCGCAATGCGTTTCTGTCATGTTAATGTCTATTCAAATATCAAGATATGAGGCCATCAGCCACATTAATTCTATATGTGGGAATATTTTTTGTTTAGCTTTCAATTAGCGGTGTTGCTCGGGATATGAACGTTAGTAGATCCACCGCGGATGTTAATGACAACAAAGGAATTAAACCGTAAACCAGTTGGGTGTCGCTTAGAAATAAGTAGGGAGAAACAAAATGAATAAATTAGGTCCGTTTCAACCCCCTTTTTACGCGTCCTCATTAAAATTTGGCGTGTAAAAAATACTAATAAGATAATTATTAGACAGTTGCTCCTCTGCAATGCGCAGGAGTAGACACGAAGCTAAAATATGCAGTTACACCGGAGTTCACCTCTCACCTATTGACCTTTGTCTTGCCTCGGGATAACGATGACCCGGTCAGCGGCTCGGAGAGAGAAAGATGCACCATTCATTTGGATGACCTCGAAGTCTGAGATTACTTTTTTCTTTATATATGTTTCTCTTTCCCCCCCCCCCCCAAAAAAAACTCGGAACGCTTTTGTTCTGGGTGTCTGTGTCTACACACGATATTTCATCCAGCTGAATAGAGGGGCGACTGGGCCATGATAATTGTTCATATTATAATTTCATACGTCCACATAATGCATTATTTCTACACCTAGAGCTAACCTAATTTTTGCCCAATCTCTTATTTTAATAAGCCAAAAAATATGCTCTTGGCTCACTTTATGAACTGGAAGAAAGAGTCTTTTCACCCAATATGTTTTTGGATATAAACTACAGACCTATTGTTAATAACAAAGTTGACAAATTAAAGTTACTTGAGCATGCTGAATACCTAATATGATTCCATGTCTCAGCCACTATAAACACGATTTAGAACAACTATTCATAACACCCTCGCTGGTTATATATTTCATGCATATCCGCTTAAATAATTTCTGATGAATTTAGACATTAATCCTCTACAAACAATATAGCTTATAATGTTCTTCTCATTAATAGTAACTGAAAGGTAGAAAGGAATACACTTAAAGGTCTGCAGAGGATATTTTGACAGTGCAAACATTTTTTGCAAGTTTTATTTGTAATTGATATGAATGATTTTACATGCAAGCCAGACGAATAATGTAAGCCCAATATATTTAGTATTTGCATATAAACAAAATACACACCATTAAGGTCGCTTTACTATAAACAAAATAGCACAAAGTGGAATGTTTAACAAAACCATCAAATGTGTCCTTTTTTAATGCAAATGAGTGTGCACTTGTGAAGGTTAGTATGATGACAAGGATGATGAAACAATGTGAGGAAAAGTTTGTAGTAATGGTCCCTCATGTTCCCTTCCTACTGAGAAGTATGTTTGGTTGACCTTATTGTAAACTCTTTAATCATCTGGTGCAAATATGTTACCTTGCCACAGGGCTTCAAGTTACAGGTTTTAATGTGTAGAGGATGCTTGCAGCAGGTGTGCAGTCAGACTTGAAAAAAAATCTTACCTTACTTAATCAGAGACTCTACTGTATAATAGATTCACTTAGAAATACACATTCATTTAAAATAGTGGAGAAAATGTGTGGAGGGAAAGAAAACGTAATCTGAGTTATAGGGTTGAGGTGAAGGTGAAAAGAAGAGCTGATTTATTTTGCGTGAACTATCACTTTAATTTCATTCCATGGCAGCTTCAGCATTTGCCTCTCAATTGATGAAAGGCGAACCGCATTGTTTGTTCAGACCTGACATTTAGTTCGAAAGCATTTGAGTGTGACTCTACTCTGATGAATTTGTGCTCTTCTGTAATTTCTTCCTGAAGATGTATGGTTTGTTCACGAGACTGACAGCTGTGCTTTGCTTATACGGGGCCAAACACATGGTAAATGGAAGGAAAATAAAACCAAAATAACTCAGCTGTAAATGTATTACTGCCACAGGTAGAAACAATGGTGACATTGAACAAGTTGAACACATTTCTTTCCCCTTTTATTTTTTTCCTTCCTGCAGAAATAATGTCTTGTATGAAATTCCTTACAAAATGTACTTTATTAAACTCCTTTAATTAATCCATAAGGAATATTTTTATAATGAAATACAATAGCTCAACATTATTTATAACAGTGAAGTTACCTGTTAATTTGTCTTCTTCTGGTAAAACACTCTAATTGAGATATTAAATTAAATCATGGGATGGTTCATCATGAGAAGAATATTGACCATATTCGGTATTGTCTTCTATTTCAAAGGCAGCTTTTTCAAATCTCCTGAGGAGTGCATGGCATGAGGAATGAGAGAACATATACGGTTTAGAGAATATCTTAAACACTTTTTTCAATTAACACATATGCTGTGGGTTCCTTCTTAACTCATTGTAATTAATGCTAAGTTGACCTAAAATTAACTTAATGCATAATATGCATGTCATATCCTCACCAGTGCTCAGGGGAATACAATCAATGTATCAAGTTAAGCTCTTTCTCACTCTATGTGAAGCACTTATAGATAGTTCAGTTGTTGTTGTAATTACAGACCATTTGAATGTTCACCTCCCTTTTTAGTTTTTTCTGCTCGTCTGATTTGACTGTTTTTATTTATTTGCAAAGACTTTCATGCACTATTAGTCTTTTTGATCGAGCTCATTCACATATTTGACTACCAAACAATTTGTGCATCAAGAAAGTTGAAATGAAGTGCACCTGTTTCTATGTGAGTGTGTGTGTCACTGTGTGTGTGTGCCAATGCATATTTGGGTGCCCTGCGTGTACAATTACTCAAATATGTGTTTTGTTTCCGAGGTGCTACTAATAAAGCGTTAAAAAAAATACAAAGCAGCTATTTTAAATAATTGTTCACTCTCACGTGCATTCATGCTCACACACACACACACACACACACTGAATTACAAATCCATACATAACACATTGTGACAGAGCTACACTGAACAAGCTACACACCAATCCAGTCCTTGCCTCTCCTCTCCTACTCCACTCCAGGGAGCAGATGTTTGGGGACAGCTTACAGCCTCAGCGAATTTCTGTGTACAGAGCAAACAGCAGCACTCAGCACTTCTGGCTGCAAAGAGAAATGTGCTCTTGAAAAGGGGGGGGTGGGGGGCTTTAAGTCATTGTAAGGTATTATGAGGATGGTAGGGAGAATAGAGTGAGAAGGGGTGCATGTAGAGGTGAAACTGTGTCAAGGTTGCTAGTGTGTTGCATAGGATAATTCCCTGTTTCCGACTGGTGCTGTGTCGTAGCAGTGTGTGAGAGCATTATGTTCAGTGTACACACAGTATCTCCCAGTGGCATCCTGCCGCATCAGTAAAATCAACCAAGGTGGCCCTACTACATATCTGATTGTGTGGAGTCTCTGACCTCTTCCATGAAGCCCTGTTTGCTCACTAGTTTGAATTGTCCTTTCAAAAGTTGCAGACAAGCAAAAAGTGAAGGGAAACAATGGGGAAGCATTGGAATGAGCCTTAACAGAGTTTGCTGATACTGCATCTGAGACATCAGCCATAACCTAGAACCAGTGATGCTAATGATGCCATTAATATGATCCACTGATTTAATGGCACCAGTCTTGTGGTGGCATGCTGCATGTACTCCCTTCAGTCTACATTTTAGCATTTGTTTTACATTTAAAAAAAAGAATTCTGTCTGTCAAAATGTTCGTTGTGTTACTCAAATATCATGAAACATAAGCATATTAAAAGACTTAAATAAATACATGATTTTGATTCCTTTTTGCTTCCAATAGGTTTACATTGCAGCTTTACCACGTGCTCGGAAATATGCTGCACAGTCTCATGAATGGGTTAAAACAAACGCTCATGTCCAAACATGTGCAAGTAGACACATTTTGACCTCATCAGTGTATTATAATCCCTAAACAAACCATCATAAATGAGCCCAGCGATGCTTATTTGTCTGAACGACGACTACACCCTCCTCCTCTGCCCCTGGGGTGAGGTTGCCATAGTGACAGATTCATAGACATATGGAGAGAGAGGAGAGGGAAAGCCGAGTTGAAGGGGCGGGGCTGCAGGGGTGAGGTAGAGGGGGGACAGAGGAGAAGGGGATGGGTTACAGTTTGAGGACGTTGGCGCTCTGTCTTTCAGATGTGCCTTTGTGTTTCATCTGTCAATCAGCCATCCGTGTCAGTCTGCGCTCAGTGAGCGAACAGTTCATGAACTTTTCTCAATCAAGTCTCTGTCAGGCGCCATCTTGTCTATATTTCATCAGAGAAAGGATTGATTCTCGTGCCAGCTTCACAGTTTTAAAAACACAATATGTGCAGTGGTGCCATATAGGCAAATAGTTCAGTGGAAAAGTGTATTAATAAATTGATTTGGAAGGCTGTGTTCATATTTTGCAATCTCTGGCCATTTTGTCTTTACACTGATGAACGATAAACACACATACAGATGTTTTTGCTACTCACTAATTAAATTCAGATGATGTAATCAACCTTTCAGCCAACCTGAGGACAGCTTGACAATGGACCAGGAGAAAAGGAGAGAGGGAAAGGAAGAGATGTGAGAGAAAGGGAGGGGGGTAGCAATGAAGCAGCCATCAGGCTGGCCTCCCTGCTATAAAAACATATTTTTTTCATCAGCCATTTTATGCAAAAGGAGTAGACCAGGTGCTCAATCAAACCTCACGCCTACTGTTTTATTTTTCATCTTCACCCCTCCCAATGCTCCTCTGCACAAACCTTCTGTGTGTCTTCCCTCGCTCCGTTTCTTCTACTGTTCTTCCCTCTCTGCATGTCATTCGTCTTCCCTCCTGCCTCTGCTCTCCAACTGATATGAGAGAGTGACCCTTGGGCCCTCGGGGGTCAAGTGATACAAGGTCATTGGCGGGTCATCACTGCTGACTGGCTGACCTCTAAAAGGACTTCTGGAAGGAGCCAATCAGGTCTTGTTCCTTCCCCCCTTAGGCGGATCCCCCTCCCCAACTCATCAGCAGCCTGTGTCACATGACCAGGGCGAGGCATCAGAGGGAGGATGATTAATGATGATTTTAGTACCTGTTTAGAATGAAGCTGTCCACACCGCACTGTAATTACCTACTCCCAGGCGGCAGCTGCCCAACATAATTGCTTTTTGTTTGTTGACCTGGTTTATTGAGGAGAAAGATGGTCTTGGCAAGGCAAAGATGGTACTACTGTACACAGAGGTGAGAGGTGATGCATGTATGTTAAAAATGTGGTTGGCAGTGTGTGTTTCAAATCAATGTGAGCTGCAAAACTGTGATCAGGAAGGTGTGTTTAGAGGAGATACAAGTGACAAGATGCAAATGTGCTTTGGGCACCGTGCAAAAAATCCATGTAAAGGATTCAAGAGTTGTGGTATGCAGCTAACAAATGGCAGTCAGGAAGCTGTAAGACATGCAACCCTCCCACCTAAGGTGAAAGACAGCCACAGACCTCTTGTGCAAGGGTACAGCATATCACTGGAATACACAAGTATTCAACATAACAGTTAAGGAGGGGTGTACCCTGTCATGCATAATTGATGTCAGTATCTTCAAATAATGTTGCTGTGTTGCTCTGAAAATTCAAAACAAAGTTCAGAAGGTCAATGGAATACTGCACCTGAATCCCCCCCCCCCCTTTTTTTTTGGCTACAGGCCTAAGGCAAATATGAACATTTCAGTACCTGTGGCGCATGCCACAGGGACAGTGACAATGAAACCCAGATAAACAGCCCCTCGTTTGACCTATAGAGAGCATAAATTTACCGCCCATAAATCCTTGGGTGTTTCAGCTCCGTTTGGCGCATTTGCTGTGCTTCTCCAGCCAAACAGAGAGAGGCAAGTGTCGAGTATCAGTGCTGCTGTATGAGCAGCTTTCATCCTGCCCCTGGTTCTCACATAACTCAGTCCTGCAGCCTTTATCACCGCCTCATAAATAACTAGGCTATCGCCTGATAATGTCCGCTTAATGCTTAGTCAATAAAGCCCACAGTAAGAGGGGCCTTTTTTAGCCTCTCTCCTGTACATAAATATAAACAGTGCAGTAGATTGATGTGATGGGCAGGCTCTTTCTGCACTGGGACAAAAAGAGGCAGCGTGTGGGCCTGAGAGCTGAAGGTGGGCTGTGGGACTGCAGGTGTTTAGAGGAGATAGTGGGCTGTAATGAGGGGGCTGCAAGAGAAGGGCTGAGTGGATAGCCTTGACTGATCACCTGTGAAAGGCACATACACACATATACACACAAATGATAGCACACAGACAGAAGCACATGTGCACGTAGGGACACTCATTCACACACACACACACACACCCACACACACTAATGCCATCATTAGTTAACCCATTGGTGCCGAGGCCTGCTGCACAAAAGCTCATCCTCCCTATTTGAAGGGCATTAGAGCATTATGATAAAGACACTCCCAAATGAACTGCTTCTGTATGTTGTTAACGCCTCTTCTTAATCCTTTGACACATTTGCAAAACCAACCTTATGATGCCACCACAGAATGATATCCAGGGATGTAAGTTTCATTGTTTTGTGCACATTGTAGAGACAGTTATCGACCATTCACACTAGTCATCAGCCCATCCAATTCCAGTGTGGCGCCACGGGCAGCTGTAGTCAGTGTGATGGCTGGAAAGGGATCAGACTGAGCCCTGGGGAGACAGGAGAGACTGACAGGGATGTTGCCGGGTTGAACGAGGGGCCTGATTGTGATCCATGAGTTAGTCAGCGCAGCAGCACCTGGGCTTGGAGCAGCAGCTGGGAGAGATGGGCAGGACGACACAGAGTTGGTTCAAAATGAGAGGGATGAGCCAATCAGCTTATATTGACACACATGGTGACGTGCAGTGGGTGCTTTGGATGTTGTATGAGTGTTTACTCTGCACACATTTAGTCAGGCCAGATTTAGCCCCAAGAACAGGCAATTCACCAAATAGGACAGAAATTCCTGCTAATTGATATTCCTTTACATGTTTTGTGTGAAATGCTGAGGTTAATATAGATCATCTGGGAGATATTTAGACTCTTTTACTTGAGCTTTTATTATAACACTAAATAAACATAATGGAGTTAGAGACCGTTGCGCTAATTCATTATGGCTAAGCTTTCCAGAATCAGAACTTACCTCAGATAACTTTGAGGCATATTACCATCCAGTTAGATTCCAATATGTAATGCTATACGTGTGTGTGAACTACAAATAAGACTATAAATGAAATGATTAAAAATAAATGCACTGTCTTTGGACAGGACTTTTATTATCATGGTCTGGTAATGATGTAACAGATTATAACTAATGAGCCAAATGAAAAATAGAAACACAATGGTATTTACCAAAACATGAAATTGGCAGGTCTTCACAAAAATTAAGTGTGCAAGAAAGTTTACTTCAAAAGAAGGGATGTGGGGCATAGAAGAAAACAAATCAGAAGCAGAACAAAGAAAAGACAAATAACCAAAGTATAATTTTGAAGCAACAATTTGGCAGATTTTGCAGGTGAATGCTAAATGTGTTAGTTAAATTGGGTTCTTGATATGGAGGGTGTTGCATCTTACAATACTACACTGATGTAACTTCCTCACACCTGCACACACACATGTAAAGGAAATTAACAATCCAAGTCATATATGTATATTCAACTGATCAATGTTTTAACTTGTTATTGTGATTTTTATATTCAAACCGTTACTTACATGTCTAATGTTCTTTTTCATTTTATTATCCATTTGTGAACTCTTATCTGTACTATCCTGTGTTCTATTCTTACTCTGTTACTGCTACTCTCCCTTCTCTTTAGCTTATCTTAATATACACACATGTTCACCACACTTTGAGATCAACAATAAGAGGCATGATTAGGCTAGCACTTGTAAACAATGTAATTACAAATATGTTCTATAATAATAATAATAATAATCGGGAGAACAGAGTACGTCTCCTTGGGTGATGCAGAGTCGGGTATCCATGATGTCACCTGTGGTGTCCCTCAAGGATCAGTTATTGGCCCCACTCTATTCACATTCTACATGCTCCCCCTTGGCTCTATCATCAGCCGACATGGAGTATCATTCCATTGTTACGCTGATGACACCCAACTGTACCTCAGGATCAACCCTACCTCCTCTGCAGCCCTGCCTTCACCCACACTTACTGCCTGCCTGGAGGAGATACAGGCGTGGATGAAGCAAAACTTCCTGAAACTGAACAGCTCCAAGACCGAAGCCATTATAGTTGGCACCCCACACCAGGTTCGGTCATCCACCATCACCATCACCACCATCACCTTCTCCGGCCAGGACATTATCCTCTCCTCAATAGTCACCAACATGGATGTGAAAATGGACGCCCATCTGACCTTTGAGGCCCATATTAAACAGCTGTGCAAGAACTCCTTCTATCACCTCAGGAATATCGCCAAACTCAGCCCCACACTCACTCTGTCTGACGCCGAAAAGCTAGTCCACTAATTTATCTCCTCCAGGCTGGACTATTGCAATGCACTCCTCATCGGGATCCCTAACAAAAGTATCCAGAAGCTCCAGTACATTCAAAACAGCGCTGCTAGGATCCTGATGAGGGTGCGCAAATACGATCATCCCCGTAGAACTGAGGATTGAATACAAGGTCTCCCTCCTCACCCACCAGT